AACAAATTTAAAACCAAAGTATAAAACGCTCAAAATTTTTACTCATAAAAGAAGATCAACCAGTATATTTAAAGATGCATATAAGAGATAAGAAGGCGCCACGTTTTAGAAAAGAAATTGTGCAAGAAGACACAGGAAGCAAAATCAAAACCCAAAAAGGTCAGATTTATCGTAAACAAGAATTAAAACCCCTTAGAAAGACACAGAGTACCTAAATTATATTATTAAATATGTTGCAGATGATGTATTGGATCAATAATATCTTTTTTATAACAATCATTTCGATACTCTCTTAAAGAACGCCGAACGACTTCATCTATTCTCTCGCAACCGTTTGTTCTCCGCACGGACGCCAGCCGGTACGCTCTGGGAGCAGCTTTACCACAGGGGGAGGGCCCCGATGAACGTCCCGTTGAGTATGCCAGCAGACTGATTACACCGTCAGAGCGGAATTATGCAACCACGGAACGGGAAGCCCTAGCCATCGTGTGGACAAAATTCAAATTCCGAAGGTACATTAAGGAATCATTCGTCGTAGCCGTTACCCACCGCCAACCCCTGAAGTAGTTGATGAATTTGAAGACATCATCCGGCCGACTGACGAGGTGGGCTCTACAACTACAAACCTACAACCTCTCTATCCAGTACGGGCCCGGCTGAGCCAATGACGTAGCAGACAGGCTATTACAGCCTTCTTGTTCCGAAGAGGAAGTGCTCCCCGTAAACACGGTAAGCGTGGACTATCCGGCACGCACTCCCGCGGCAACACGGTCCGGACAAATGAAGGACCCTGACCTAAAGAAAATCCTGGAGGCGTTCACCAATGTAGACAAACTCGAAATAAGCTGTCATTTTGCACGCAGATACCGCATGTCCCAAGGTGTACTATATTGTTACTATCCCGATATGGTCGCGGAGGAACCCCAATTAGTCGTGCCGACCCAGAATCGAAATGAAAGTCTGCAACAGTATCACCACTCCCCAATCACCGGACATTACGGAGTAGATCGGACATGGCACCGCATTGCATCCCGTTACTTCTCTTCTGGGTTGGTATGCGAAGGGACATCGTCGCACACCTTAAGGATTGCGTCCAATGTCAACGATTCAAAGTATAGAATTTAAAGCCCGCCGGACTGCTGCAGACCTCAGTGATGAAACGTAAGTTCGTGATCATAGCCGTTGATCGTTCGGACCCTTACCGCAGTTACAGCTTGGAAACCGATGGGTTTTGATTATAGAGGACACCGCGAATCGTTGGACTGAGTTGTTTCCATTGCCGTCCGCAACCACGGAAGCCTGTACCACGGTCATACTAGAAGAAGAGACGCCCAGGAGGATAATCAGTGACAATGGTACTCAATTTATAAGGGGAGTGATGCACCATCTAACTCACTTTCTGGGAATCGCCCAGGATCTGACACTACTACACTACCCGGCCGCCAATCCGGTAGAAAGGCGAAACCGAGACTTAAAAAAATACAGGTCGCTATTGCGACTCCGAAAGACCAAACCCGATGGGACGAAACGCTGCCCAGCATCCGCTTTGCTTTAAACTCGGCCTATTGTAGCACCACTGGTTTCAGTCCGGCCCACCTTACCCTTGGGAGAGAACTTCGCAGTCCTGAGGAAGCGCCCAGGATCTCCCAGTCATTTTTCAATCAGATAACTTCGTACCAGAGATCATCCCAAGACTCCTAACACTCGGTAACCTACTCCGCCTAGCCCAAAACCGGCACGAGGCTCAACAGGACCGACAGAAGGAAAACGCAGACCGCCTTCGTCGACCCGTTCCGGCCAACCGCCCGGACGACTTGGTTTTAGTCACTAGCCACAGTCGAAGCAAAGCCAGTCGAAACTTTTCCTCTAAACTCGCCCTCCGTAGAAGGATCAGCCGTCCCGTATCGTTGGAGTCTACCACACCTACGTTCTATCTCCTTTCTGAGGACCTGAGGGAGACATCGGTCCCCAACTACCCAAACGTAAGAGGGGACGTCCGAAGAAGAAGACAAACGGGGACGCGGGACCTAGGTCAACGACTAGAGGGGGAGTCTGTAACGCGTACCATTTTAGAACCTGCATTTTGACGCGCCTGCAACATCAGCAGTTCTCCTACTCGTCGTACTACCACTCGAGACCGGTACGTTCGATCACCACCGCTCCCTTACTCCTGAAAACCACCCTCTCGGTACACGCTCGACAACTCCTCCATGCCAGACGTGAATAAAAGATGGCCCGGCGAGGAACGACAGTTCTCATCTTGGTCGCACTCTACTAGCGTTCCTTAGGAACATTAGAGCTGATCTACTGAGAGGACACAAAACTCCGGAGTTTTCCTTTACGGAACCCAGGCCACAGGAACCACCAAGTGCGGTAGTGAGATTTAGACAGTTTACCTTAGTATTCTCGGACTTGTAAAACCGTTATTAGTACGTAGTGCGAAACACGAGCCACACGCGGAATCACACATAGTGTTAAGTTTTTCTTTCTTGTGTTTTTTTTGTTAATTTTAGATTTATGTACGTTTAAATAAACTTTACCTTGGTACGAAAAACTTTCTCATTACAGTAGGTAGACATTTCTGTGCAATAACATACAATTTTCAAGAACATGGGTATGTGGTTTAAGTAATACATAGTACTGCAAAGCTATATAAAAAAAATAGAGCATCTGTATGTGTAACTGAATTGATGAGAATATTTACTTTCTCAATTTCCTTTGATAGATTGTAAATTACGAGGTGTATGAAAAAGTAAATACGCATCCTCATTAATATTTTTACTTTCACGTAAGACATTTCTTGCATTTGAGTGAGAGAATTATAATTTGTGAGAATTGTATATGTAAAGTACAGAAATTATTTTATGCACGTTCTGTTGAGGGTGTTCATTTCTGCGTGATTGTACCACGTCAGTTGTGTAAGGCACATGTCCTTAAGCCAAACAATTGCGTTTTAATGAACACAGTTAACCAATTAATGTAACATGGTAGGGATTGCTGACGGCGTGCTGATGTAAATAGGTATTCCTTCTTGAAGGCTATTATCGGTTTTCTAACCCCACCGTATGCCTTATACGCTCCTGCAGTAGTTTCTCATTGGTTTCCATTTTATGGAAGTACGATCATCGACAATATAAAAGGGAGTAATTCCGTTGTAAAGGCAACTATAGTCTAGTTCGAACCATTCGAGCTGGTATACGTACTTGCGATCATTTTCTACCGTTCTGTTACCAGCTACTGCAGCCGACGAACACAACAACCGGCAGTAATCGCTGCCTGTATAGCGACGACGTATTAAAGCAGGTGGTTTAATATTCACCAATTCATATACACTACGTCCCACAGGAGTAGATTAACTTTTCTTGCCAACCATTTCGAAATCATTACCCCCAAGAGCGCCGCACATTTGAAAGAACTCTCCATTGCGGAAGTTATGTCCTCGGCAAGCGAGCTGCAGTCCAAGCTCGCCATAATCAACGAATTCTTACGGCAGTACTTCGAAAGTTCCCCTTGTTTCCCAACGTACGTAGACGTTGTGCCTTCTTCGGCCACCCAATTCAGACCCTCCCCCCACTGTCGCTAACGGATTCACAGAAGCCGGGAAGCGGCGTTACAAGCGCCGAAGACGTGCCACCTTTCTGTATTCGGCATCCTCAACGTGCTTTGATTCTGAGGCAGACACTAGTGTAACTACCCAAACCTGCAATGCCCCTCCCCTCATCGAAATCCGCCAAAGGTCCCTTTGGCCGAATATTCTTCGCGCCATAGACAACCAAGGCATCGCAACACGTCGGGCCATAAACACCAAAGGGTCTACCCAAACTCCGTTGACGAATCCAAAGTTTAGTACAAACCAACTGAAACAAGACCGCAATCTCCATGTTGTCCTCCGTAGATTTTGAAATCTCCACAAACGATGTCAAGGGTGGAAAAATCTGGCCCTTAGTGTCCGTTAGTCTGGACAATGCCGCCATTGCTTGAAGTTCTACCACACGGCCAATTATTGTCACGCCGCCTGGGTCTATTCCTTTTGTGGCCGCAACCATATCTCTGCCGAATGTAAGGCAAAGGACAAGAAAGAAGCCACTTCTTCCTGCGCTAATTGCAAAGGAAGACACCGCGCTACATTCCGCGCCAAGGTTCCAAATAGGACCGTACCCCCCCAAATCTGTAGTACCCCCAAACACGAAAGTGTATACAATCTGCACCCCATCCAACAGTCATCCCCAGAAAGACGCTCCTCCAAAAACCTTACCCCTCAAAAATGTAATGCGTCCCCAAACACACCTGCAGCTTCTTCTCTTGAACAGAGCATCCAGGCCATCGTTCAAACGATGGTAGCAAGTCTGATCGCCGTTTTACAAACTCCCACCAATGTGTAATACAGCCCACCCAGATAATCTTTGTATAGTTACCTGGAATGCGCAAAGCATTAGAGGTAAATCGACTGAACTCGAACACTTCCTCGAGGATAAGTCAATCAGTGTTGCTTGCATTACCGAAACTCATCTTTCCGAAAAATTCAAACTTTTCGTTCCAAACTTCTCATCCTAGAGATGGGACCGTGAAAATAGCAGTGCCGGCGGGCATATAAGCACAACGTACATGATTTTGACAAACGGCTTGTATCTACGCTTTCTGATTGGTTGCTGCCAGGTAGCAGTACGTTCTACCATTGTAGAGTCAGCATCATGTACGTTTTGCAAGTGAATTAAAAATGCATGTGTATGCCAGATAACAGTACATATTGCCAGAGTCACATCAGCGCCATGTACGTTATGACAGTAAATTAAAATTGCGTGAGAATATATTTTAAAGATTTACTTATTACCATAATACAATACAAAAACTACGAAAACTAAGCACATTAACACAAAATAAAAGTAGGTTCTATTAGTTACTAGTGTCCACTGCCATGCGATTTTGCATTTGTTATGTTATTTTCCACATTTACATGTAAATTCCGCTTTCTCTTTAGTACTCTTGGTTTTTTTTTTCAGTGACGGCTGGTCTTCCACTAGGCACCCTCTTACTGCCACTTGTAATACCAAGTCTTCTTCTGGCAATGGTTGTTGGCTGTACACGAATTGCTGTACGACAACGCCTTAAAGGAATACTGGATCCTGCCGTGCATAAAAAACTATCCCATGCATTTCTGGTGGTGACTTTTTGGAGTCGAGCTAAACTTTTTTGTATAGAAGCTTCACTAGTGCCAAATCTTATGTGGCAATCCTGCATAAGTTTTAACAGTGCTTCAAATGATGATGACTCAGTGTTATTGAAAGGCGTTTGACTTATAGATATAGGGTAATTTCATTGTTATTACTACTTTCATTATGTAGTTCTACATAAGAATGCTGTTCACATAAATCAGTTTTTGATACCGAAGTGGATACCTGCATTTGTTGCGAACTAATAAGAGGTCTGTAAAATTCTCGCCCTTTAGCCTTTTCACCCAATGCCAAGCATGCGATTTGGTAACGGATCTCGGAATCATGTGCTTCCAGGTTGTAATAGTATAAATAAAATCCTGCTTGGTGTTTACATGTTTTACCTAGCCGACCAACAAGACAAGTGCAGCAACCAATTTCAATATTCACATCATATAGCACTTGATCATTTTTTTCACTTGGAACTTTGTATGTGAATTCATCTATTTTTTGTATGCTATCCTTTTTTAGATAACTTGCTTTCTTCAGTAATGGTTTTAAAAGATGGTTTCCTTCACTATATCCCTTATTAGCAAAATTTCTTAGACGTCGAATAAAATATTGTTCCATAGTCGTACAAGTAAAGTCCGCTAGGGCAACTACGTTGTAAGCTTTACATCGAGAAAGTACTATGTCTTTATATAGGCGTACACATACTTCAGAGAAGTTATTCGTTTGATGGCCATGAGTATTACTATCACGATAAGCTAAACACCAGTCTTCGCGTCGGGTCCAATAGTTGTTAACATATTCTACCCAGTGAGTATATTTTTCTGATAGGTCGTTATTTAATGCATTATAAAAAGCATCGGAAGCGTTTTCTGGAGATAAAGCTGTTAGTACATTTCTAAATGAATAATACAACTGTTGCCTATTTTCTTTTGGTATGTTATGTTTTTTTTTCAATCAGCCATCTCCAAACTGATTGCGCGATATGAAAAGAACAAAGTTATAAACGTGATTGTCTCTCTGCTTCGTTATCATCTGTCATACAGCACCCAGGAAACCCTTTTTCTCTAAAAGCCGAATCGCCAAAAGCTTCTCTTACCATTTCAAAGCCTGCAATGTAGTCGTGTTTTGATTGACCCTTGTTTATAATTACTGCTAGCGGTACAGCACCTGCAGAGCGTACTGTTAACATAAAAGTTATGGAATGATTTTCTGCGTCATAAGACGCAGTGCTGCCTACAAATACTATATCCCCAGCACATTGTAAATTATACGCTCTTCTCATGATTGGTGTAATTATGACAACTGCAAAAGGGTCTTTCTTGACTTTTATAGTAACACCTTTTTCTATATGCTGTGACTGTTTTTCCTGAAGTTTCTAAAAATAATAAAATTATAACAAATTGGCAAAAAAAAATCTAGAATAGTCAATTAGCCAAAAAAAAAATACAAATTTGCAGTCAATAAAACAGAAACCCCGCTAATACGCAAAAATAGTTTAATATAATGAAAAATGTAAGTATATCACTTACCTGTAGCATTCCTTTGCCAAAACGCGATCCTAAATTAACACTTCGCCATTTGTCGTACCAATATCGTACTGTACGATATTTTGGATTTATGGAACCATTGGCCAGATCTTCTTCATCCGCTTCTAATTCAAGTTTGTTTAAATGGTAATTAACAGATTCAGTTATTCCCATGCCATTATCAAAGTACGTCTCAAACAATTTTCTGGTTTCTAATGAAGCCGACAACGCATCTGCAGTGTCTATGTCGTAGCTGTGTTTATTATTTATAGTAATTACTGCCGGCAGACCTTCCTAAAATATTTAAAATAAAGATTGACCACATTTTTTTGGTAACTCAATGATTAAAGCAACAAAATATACCTAAAAAACAATCCGATAACATCTCTTTTCTCACCTTAACATGTAGATGCTTTGGGATTGTATTTTTTGTGGTGACTCTAACCATTATTGAAATTTTTGCCATACATTCGCGATTTTTTGATTTCTTGTTTGTGTTGGTTCTCTTTTTAGACGAGCTGTAATGACAGATATTTCTTTCTATAAAATATATTTATTATACATGGTTAGTTATAAATACAGGGTGGCGCATTTATTCATGTTGTTTAACCTTGAATATTCTTGAATCCACGTATCACATTCTTCTAGATTGTGTAAATTTGCGTAAACTGTTATACTATCGCTATTGTTAGTCACTTCTTTCGTTTTGTATTTAAAAGATTGGGGTAATTCCATATTATTTGCAAACATTATTAATACAGTATTGAAATAAATATCAACTCACCAACGCATGCTTACTTGCAGAACGACAGTGACGCGACGACATGAATAAGCAAAAACAAAAGCGCGGGTATGCAAAGCTGCTGAGATGGCAAAATGTACATCAAATGAACATCCATTTGAGGCATACAGAACAATTCGTACTATTATTTGGCGAGAGGAAATTCGGTGGAAAAATGTACATTTATTTGGCGCCTGTATAGCAATGTGTACTGTTATTTGGCATCGACCAATGAAATAACCCTATCGCCCTGTGTTTGTCAAATACATGTACCTTTTACTTATGTGCTGCCTGCGGTGTCGCCATTCTTGTTAGGAATTCTTTAAAGCACAAGCCTATCTCTTTGGTCACAAACTCGTTAGAAATAGTCGGTATTGAAGTTTCAGTAACTTCCGGTCCTCTTATGATTATCACTCTCTACTGCACTCCTTCGGACAGAGACATCTCTGAGCTCCCCCTTCTACTACCCCCAGGCGTTCAAACTATCATCGCCCGCGATTTAAACGATAAACACGTCTCTTGGGGCTGTTAACAAGCCAATAGTAAAGACACCTATCTTCTTGCCAAAATTCTTGATCCTATCGTAATTGATTGACCACCTTCCAGCCCTGATAGAAGTCGGACGCCCAATCAACAACACCCCAAACTCAACAACGTCACTAGATTGGCTACACCTTCGTTACACCCTCGGAACATCTTCATTCAAGTGCACTCCAATTCGCACAATAGCGGAACTTGACGAAGCGTTGAATTACCAGCGTTATAGGGCTCTCCGCTACTTCCCGCCTAACGCACACCAAAGATAGAATCGTCCCCGCAGACATTCTTGACCTCCTTAAGAGGTAAAACAAGGAGCGATGCCTGTGGAAAAGACACCGCGTCCCCGCACACCGTGCATAAGTAAACGCCCTTCAACGAGAACTAAAAACTCGTCTCACTGAATTCCGCAGCGCATTCTTCGATGATTATATCGTTCCGGCAGAAACACCTGAAGCACTTGGAAAGTGATCTGTTCTCTTCGTAACAGAGTTCCCCATCTTCCGCCACTGAAAGAGAACGGCTCCTCCTATTCTTCAAACGAAGAAAAAGCTGCAATCGTCGCGGACTGTTTATGTCTCCAGTGTTCCCCACTACCTAGCCCAGCCGACTTTCCGAGTTTTACGAGCAAACGAAAGCCGTTTCCCAGAACTTTGTTCCCCTAAATTCCGACTTCAGACACACCACACCCCTTGAAATCTCCTTTACAATCCGTTCTATGAAAAAGAGGAAAGCCCTTGGCGCTGACGGAATTCAAAACGGAGTCCTCAATGTCCTGCCGCCAAAGCATATAACCGCACTGTGCAACATCACAAACGCTGTCACGCGGCTCCACCACTTCCCTTTGGTCTGGAAAGAAGCCACTGTCAACTGTCTCCCCGAAAAAGGGAAGCCCTCAGCACTCCCTGAAGCTACATTAGGGTTATCAAGTCCTTTTTTACAGACAGAAGCCTTCGGGTCCGCGTTGGCTTTGCTCTTTCTGCCAGTAAATTCATCACAGCCCGTGTCTCACAAGACTCCAAACTATCACCTTTTCTACTTAACCTGTTATGTGCGGACATGCCCTTCGACACGTCTATTTTGACAGGTCTCTACGCGGACGACATTGCTCTCATAAATTCCGCCAAAACCATTCTCCAATGCACAGGGATAATTAGTAAGTTTCTGCCCCTGCTCCTAAACTGGCACGAGACCAAATCGGAAGCAATTTTCTTCTCTCGTAGGTCCTGAAAACCTCCCTGTATCTTAATAAACAACCGTCCCATCAAGTGGCGCAACTCCGTCACCTACCTAGGCGTCGTTTTCGACTGGACCCTAAACTATCGGCTCCACATCGCAACTACTCGTACCAAGGCAATGTGTGCATTCATAGCACTCAAGCCTTTCTTCCGAAATGACTCCATCTCCCAACATACGATAATCCGTGCGTTTAACGTAATAATCAGAAGCATTTCCTCCTACGCCATTTCCGTCTGGGACTGCGCCCTTCCTCACCGCCTGAAACTAAAGTATCTCTGGTTCGTCAGAAACACCCAAATTCTCAAAGAAACCGGTTTACCTTCTCTACCTCACGCTCCAATCTCATTCGCAACAAGCCTCCGGGCCTCAGTGTCAGGCCATGCATACACCACCATTTCGATACTTTCCAACTTCGCCCCGAAGCCAAACGACCGTTTCCGAAAGTCCTGTAACCTTCTACAATGAGCCACCTCCATTTGCTCACTCCTAACTTTGTTTTTTAGAGCGAGTATCCACCCATCACTTCCGAAGTGGACCACCTGATCCGATGGTTCTCTCCCTCCCCGAATCCTTCCACGCTTAACCATTTTCCCTTCTCAACCCTTTTCCAAAACCCAACTTATCCATTGTCTTCCTTGAGATAAGTAACCCCCACGGGTTTATCTCCCCACTCGAGGAGAGGTTTTAGTAGGTAGGTTTTTTGCACTGACATATTTGTAATTTGTACGTATAATAGTATTTACAACTCGTTCATGCTGATACTATTTCCGATATTAGTCCCTTTTTGGATACGTATTTGTAACAGATTTCGTTATGAAAATAATTTCGTAACTATACCTATAAAACTGCAGTCTTTCTACTAGTCATAAATTTTTCTAGTTTTCTGCGTCTGTTGCGTGCATATACACGGAGACAACTAAATCTTTATGACAACCCAAAAAATTGCAATTTTCGATTGCAAATGACTTTTTTTTTGTTTTCACAGATGTCCTACATACTGACGCCGATTTACTTCTGTGGCCGAAAGTTACGTTACGGTATATAGTATATGACTATAATGTCGTTGTACTTATTTTCAATTTTTTCACGGATGTGCCCGTTCGCATGGAAATAGAAGCGACACCCGCTCCGTTCACATCTGCACCCACAACTTCTGGTAAGTTGTCCCTCATTACTTACTTCTTTTGTAAACTCGAGTTGATAGATGATCCTTC